CAGTCACTAAACCATGGCTTTCTGTATGGAGTATTCTCAACATGGTAGATAACCAGGGAGGGCCTGCTTCAGAGCCTGTACCAAGGTGAGGATCAGTGTGTTTTTTCCACTGTGACTGGTTAAATCTGTAGTGCACAATCACAGCTACATATCGACAGGGGAGCCAACTGCTATGCCAGGTCCATGGGGCAAGTGGGGGGGGGGGGAAGAGGGAAGCGTTTCCACACTCCTGGAATGTGCATGACCTCAGGTGGAAGGAACAAACCCGGGGCAGTGAGCATGCCGCTCTAGCCCCCACCTCAGCCCCTAGAACCTCCCAAAATGACCACGTGGCACTCCAGTGGTTATTTAAATGGCCCAGGGTTCTGGACCCCCAGGGTTGCTCAAACATGGTCAGCAGTGTGTCCGCTAACACTGGACATGGCACTGCTTCTTAGCACAGATCAAGTCTGGGAAATGGGAAACAGGACAACCTAATGAGCTTGGCAATGACCTTCTAGCTAGTCTCGCACAATTCCAATTACCTCTCTGGTGTCTGTCACCACCATGTATGATATAGGCATTGGCAGAGCTGTCCTTAGGATTTATGAGGCTCTTTGCAGTACTATTAAATTGGTACCCCTATACCCAATGGCAGTGGGAGGGTGACAGTTTTTTAGTGATGTGACTTTGTAATCTTTTGCAGCACACAAATGTTAAACTAAGGTCCTGTAGACCAGCACAGTAAATTCGGAAACTGACAATATATAACCGGGGTTGACAAATGTCTATTACATGGCTTCGTTACAACTTGAATGACTCTTTCACAGGTTCGATGTTCTGTTAATAGGTGTGGCAGGCTTTTTCACTTTTAAGTTAAGTAGATCCTCTCCACAGAAAGTCACAGAACAGGGACAGAAAGAGGCAGGTGAGCAGACATTAAGACCCAGCTGTGCCCCAAATTTTCAGGTGCCCTACGCAAGTGCTTATTCTGAACATATGTAAGGACAGCTCTAGGCACTGGGTTTCTGTGGTGACAAAGTAGAAGCCTCCGACAAGAAGTTGGGCAGAGGAGAATTTGGTTTATGTAGTTTCAAGCCAACTTGGTACTTTTAAGGCTGATGTTCCTAGTGGATTGCTGGGAGAAGTGAGTTTTATCAAATCCAAAGACAGAACTAAGCTACGCTGTTTTTCTTCTTGAAGTTGTGATTTTTGGATTCAGAGTAGTGTGTGATGTATTGGTGAACAGAATTATATTCCCACTGCAAAATCTATAACCAATAAGGTAGTACTAGGGGCTCACGGCAAACGGGAACTTCTGAGCATATGAAAGTCCCTTCCTGAAAGCATTATGTGGAAGACACTCCCTCTTACAATGGGAATGGGAATGCAGTGTGAGTGGTCTCTGGGTTCCTGTGCTAGTCTGAATAGGTTAGATATTGTCCATGAAAACACTGCGCACAGAGCCTTTTCAAGCTTGTGAAATTGTTCATGATGTCAAAGCGAGAACATTTGTAGGAAGCAACATGCTTTTTACAAGAAGGAAGTCTCAATACAAAGTGGACACGCTTCATTCAAAGCTGAATGTTGTATGGATGCGTATGTATGTACACACACTCACCTCTTATTAGCCAAATCCTTTGGCTTCCATTTTCAGGAAAACCCCAAGGCCTTTCATATGTAAAAACTGAAGATATGGCCCTTTGGGATTAGAACCCGAAGTTCCACACACAGAGAATTTCCATTAGTTTTAATTGGAGTAGTGTCCATATAAGGAATGCAAGGCCACACCACTGGATGGTGTTTGTGACAGAATTGAATTAGTATGCAAGTTCATAAACTGTACCACTGATGTTAAAATAAATTTAAAAAAATCTTTTTACCAGCTCTCAATAAAAAGCCTACAACAGAGTAAGAAGAACCCAGTAGCATTAGAATCTTAAATGAATAGCTAGAAACATCTGTGGTTTTTGGCATGTCTTCCTGATTGACTCCAATGGGACTTCTGCACATAAAGTGTAGAATGTAACCTTGTGTGAGCTTTCAAACTATCCTTTGAAAATACATCGAAAAGGAAATCAAAAGTTTAAAAACAACTTTAGCAAGATTGACAAAGTTTGTGTTCATTTTTATTTTGCTTCCCAGCTGTGACTGCTTTTGCTTATCTTTAAGGAGAAGACAGCATTCAGTGTCTGCCAGAGTTAGTTTCAAACAGGTCAAAGATTTATTTAAGAGGAAACCTTTAGGACAAATATACTGGTCCTGATCCATCTAATTGATTTTAGTGAGTGTAGGACTAAAGCCACTGCATATTCTAAGATAATTTACTCTGTGACAATGAAAATTGTATGCAGATAGTAGGTTACTGCAGCTTCTGGCAGGAAGACAAGATGATATTCTAGAGCCAGGCGGTCCTTGAATGTTTCCACAATGGTTTGGGCTATGAGCTGTTATTGTGAATTATTTGTACTTGACTAGCTTTCACCACACAAGAAAACTACAGCTTTCAGTAGGTCAAGTGTGAAATGCCTTGCCATCAAGAATGTCATTTTTCCTGATTTCCCTCCTCTCAAAGTTCTTCAGCCTTACTAGAACTAACTTCTAATATAAACCTCTGACATGAGGGTTCTTTATGCAGTTCCTGGCTTTGCTTGTCTATCTAGTGGTCTGATTACCCCTTCCTTAATCAGGTAATATCACTGTACTTACATCAAGTCTGCTGCTTGATCTGTTAAACATTTCTTGTGAGTCTGCATTCTGTGGGATGTTTTCACTGGATGAGGAATG